ATATTCTACTCAAAACAAAACAAAATCTAGGAGTGTCTATAATTTACAAACTAGTCTTTAACAAATTCTTGTGGATGAAACAGTTCCTCTGTAAGAAGATCAATGAATCACAGGATTTCTACAGATGGAGTTTTATGTTAAAAATCTTCTCATGGCTTGCATATGAAAGCTTACATACTTGAAATCACTTGGAATAGACTGGAATGTTGTTAGGCCACTGGTTCCAGCCTCCCTCTCTCCCTGAGCATGTGGCTGGGGACCTCCTTCTCTCTCAACAGTCCCCTTTGCCTTCTTCTCTTGGGCCTGGCTTCAGCTCCTGGGTCAGTAAGCTCAAGGAGGGGGCTGGGCCAGTGGCCAGAAATGCCCCTAGCTGTCCTCCTCACCCTCAATCACTCTAACGAGGAGCAGCTCCAGGGGCCCAGACCCTTGGCTTACGTGGCACAGTGGCATCTACTGGCTCTGTGTGCTGAGGCAGTTTACTTCATCCTTCCCTTTGGTATCATAGCCTGGCAGAGGCTGTCCATACTTGTCCACACACCAGCAGAAGCCCCGTTTTCTGCCTTTGGAAGGGCGACACTGAGGGATGGAGAGAGAAGAGCAGGATGTGAATACTCTGGGTAAATTGGTAAGCAGGCCCAAGGTGGTTTACTCAAGTGTGGCTCTGATGGACTGAGGGAGTACAATAAAGGTCTCTTAAAGAGCCACCCATGTGTAGGTAGAGGTTTGTGGACACGTGTGCTATAACCTCTCTGGGAAGGCTGGAGGGGTTGCAGAGTGGTTAGACCGGATCTCTCAGAGCTCACACTCAGCCTTATCTGCAGCATCTTCTCAGAGTCTGCTGAATGAATAGCTACAGAAGAGGCTCAGGCTCTCTGATCGGGAATCCTGTGATAAACACTAAGTGTGGACATTGTTTCCTTCCATCTCCTAGGTCCATGGTGTGAAATATTCAACTAGAAAGTCACCTGAAATACTGCCACCATGTGACCCATATCTGAAGAGGCACCACACTGGGAGGAGCTCCTGAGGATCACTATGAGGCTGATTCCCCTCTGAGCCAAGAGAGACAGGAGGAGGAAAACACCCCAAGGACCCCATTCACCTGCTTCTTCTTATAAAACCCTTTCTTGTCACAGTTTGGGATGTGGACACCTCTGGGACTCAGCACATTGAGGAACTTCAGATGATTCAGCGTGTCCTCCATTTCTCTGCGGCAGGGACCCTGAGGACACAGTTAACTGCTTTGAAAAAATCTCATAATGCCCACAGGACCACCCCAAGTGGGACCTATAATGTGCCTCTCCAGGACATTCTGTTTGGTGAGAAGGTTCTAGGAGGACACTAACCATTGTTCCCTGTCTCTTTTACTTTTTCCAGAGTGAGACACAGGTTCTGAAAGGGGTCTAGGATATAGGTCAGTGGGCTTGGAAGGCCCAGTGGATTTTTAAAAAGCCATCTTTCTGGGAATGTATCTGTAGGGCCTACCACTCACTTTATAATTCATCTTGAGACTCCCAGGAGTCTCTGGGATTGGAACAAATCTGCATTCTTTAACTAAGGAGGATTTGAGAAGGAGGTGGGATCTAGGTGGGAGAAGCTGTCTACCTGTCAGTGGGGACCACTGGGACTTCCTGTGTGAAGACTATCTTGGGGAGAATATCCTCTTTCCCCTCAAGAACAGGAAAAGTTCTCACGTATTCTGTCTCCTGCTTAGACTCAGAGGAGAAGTTCTGGGTGTCTGTGCTCTGTGATTCATAGTCAACTTTGTAGCGCTGGCTATCCTTGGCATGGCCTTTCTTAATGACATCTATCTTTGCATGGGGTGGATGGAACTTGGAGTCAGTCACCCGGTGTGTGCTGGAGGCAGCCTGGTTCTCCATACTCCCAGTGTTCCGGTCTTCCTCAGACTCACTGGCATTTCCTGGAAAAGTATAGGGAGAAAAGATATTACTATTACTGAAACCTGAATAATAATATTTTCAAAACCACATCACACCTAAATGGCAGTATCATTCAATTCCAAATAAGTTAAGAAAAATATCTGGATAAACTATTCTATAATACTTTCTGCTATACCTCGATTGCTTTCCCTCAGGAAGCCATCTGTTCAGAAGCTGTTCTGCCAAATGCTTTTACTTCACAGCTGCAAGTGAAGGCAGCTAATGCTTATCCAGCTCCTGAGCAGATGGGAAAGCAGCAGGCCTCATCTACAACAGCAGGGGGCAGGCACACACCGTGGAAGGCTGCTGAGAGCTGACCAGAAAACTCTCCAGGGCCTCCAAATGTGGTCCTTTCATCCCTGGGTGAAGCTGTTGCCAGGAGACCTGGAAAAAAAATCTACATCTTCTACCCACAAAGCACTGAGGTGGTGGCAGCAACACTCAGCCCTCCTGGGAATCTGGCATTTGCTCAAGTTTGAGCAGTACTGTCCTTCATTCTGTGAGCTCACCTTAGCCTGGCTCAGATGGAGAACTGATTTCATCTGCAGTATCTCACTTCAGGTATCCAGAATCATGTGGGCATGCATGTGTCAAAGGTTCATTTCCTAGATGTTTGTTCTGTCTTATGTCAAGGTCTACATACACCCTGTGCTTGGGGTGAGTTGGGCAAAACCCTTCCCACCCCTTAGCATTGGAGCACACAGAATGCAGACAACACCACAGCTTCGCCCTACGGCTTAAATCTTTGAGTGCCCAGGGGCATCCATTACCTGGGAGTAGGGGAAGAGAAGGTGGGAAAAACTTCTTACAGGGTCCTCGTTCATAATCCAGGTGCTAATCAGGAGGGCACTAACTGACACTGATGCTGGAAGGTTAATAGATTGAAATCCTAAGTACGTGACTAAATTTGTGGCTGGACATGTGGCCAGATTTCTTCATTCCTTTTCTAGTAGGACTCCCATAGGGATCCAAGGCCAGATGATTTGTCCCCAGTGCCCAGGGCTAAACTCCAGAGCTTCAGATTTAGTCTGCAAGTGATGGCCACAGAATTCCCTCACTCCTAAGGGACTAAATAGCTCGCCAAGCAAGAGCCTCCAGTTGGGTATCCATCTGATTCTAAATTTATTCTGCCTGGGTGCAAAGTGCAGGGGTCCAGTTGATCTCTTTCTTGTTGCTCAGGACATGCCAAACAATGGCATCCTGCCTACAGGGAAGCCATGGTTTTCTGGGTCTTGGCCCAGAAGGACAAATGCCCTGGCTTCCTCAAAGCTGTCAGAGGGCTGTTTTGTCTAGGAGGAACCTACCAGCAGGAACCTATGGAGCACTCTGGCCTCTAGGTCTGTTTCCCCACCTACTGCCTACCAAATAGTCCCTTAAAGTCTAGCTGTAAAACCCCCCAGTGAATTCTGTGCCTCTGGAGTACAAATTCCCAGCGTCTACAACCAGCACCAGGCACAGTAGGTCCATAATTAAACTAATGGCCTTGGTTTAAATTTACTTTAATCTTAGTGTTTTTAAAGGAAGTACTGCAACAAAGGAAATGCTAAGAATATGTAAATAAACATATTTACATTTCTTTTCCAGGGACCTCAAGTAAAGTCTTAAACTTGCTTGTTTTCTATTTTTAACCCTTAGACAGCTGAGTAGGGGGCAAGAGAATGTGGTTCTATTTAAGAAACAGAGAACTGACTTTTAAGTGTCATATAACTACCTTTGTTTTTCTCTAATGGATTTTAAAAGTCACCGAGTTCAAGGTCTTATAATCTTGTAAGAGCTCACATCAGTTTATACTCTAGATAGAGATTGGTGGTTATTCACAGTGGTTATTAAAGCCTAGCTAAAGTGGCAATGTTGGCATTTCTAAGATCACTTATGAAACACCCCAGAATGTGCTAGAAGTACACACATAGCAAAGGATAGAACTTTGCTTTTCATTGTGCCAGTGAAACAACTAGAATCTTGCTTTTCCAAGAATCTAGTACTTTCTCAGGGATGAATAAAGCCAGAAGGGTTTGCCTACCAGGGAAATACCTTTACCAGGCATGCAGATTTGCAGCCACAGAAGTCATAAAGGGACTGTCCACTCTGCTAGCCCTGGCCCCAAGGAATTGGTGGTGGGGGGATTGATTGCTCTGCACCATCTGCCCATCTTGATGTGGGAAAAAGAGGAGAATTCTAACCTTCAGCTGTGCAGGGCAGGAACGTTATGTTACATTACTGAGACCGGCTAACAATGCTTGAAATTTAGAGGAACAACTGCCAAATCCATTGAAAGCGCCCTCCCCGCCCCCTTTCTCTCCGAGAAAGGTTCCAGCTGGCCTGGAACTTGCTATGTAGTCCAGGCTGGGCTCCATCTCACAGAGATCCACTTGCCTCTGCCTCCGGAGGGAATGCTGGGTTTAAAGGCAGGTGTGTGCTACCTCCCTGCCCAGGGAAATCTTTTTTTTATAAAGGAGCAATGTGCTGGTGTCCTGGCGTCCTTGGAGTGACCACCTGCTTGATAGTGCCTGAGCCATGAGGGGTATCTGCCAAACATTTGCATTTTTCCTCTTTGGGGCTCCCTTCCCCTGCAGTTGGATGAAGAAGGGGAAGCATTCTAAATCTCTTCTCCATCAGGGAAATCCTCTGGATCTTCTCAATCTGCATTCATGGCACTTCACACACCTGGGCAAAGGTTCGAGCCCCTGCAGGCGCCGCAGGGTGCGGATAGGGACACATGAGGTTCCAACCGGTACTACAGCAGCTCTGTGTGACCTTGAGAAGTTCTTTGTTAACTTTGGGTTAGGCAACCGCAAAGACCCAGCACTCTAATTCCATCTCGTTAATTTCTGGTATGTGGGGCTTTGCTTTGCCAACCAGTCCGGGCAAATGTTAGTATTTTTCAAGAGACGTGCCATTTCCAACTACGTGTCTGTCAACCTTCATCTGTCGGAATCCGGCACTGGGTCCCCATACTCAAGCCCCTCTGGGATTGACACGTTCCCTCCCAATTTGTGGGAAATGGAAGCCCAGGTCCACAACACAAACCCAGGTATCCCCGAAGAGAGGGGGCACTATCTCACGACCAGGACAGCCAACCTCGGTATCCACTCTTCCCACCACTGAAATCTACCCATTTTCACGGAAAGCATTTTGCAATGTGCAAGATCGTTGCACCCTGAGAACCACGCAAGAAGAGCGCTGGCTGCGGAACCCCCTTCGCCTCTCAGGACCTGATTGCTCACCAGCAACTTCAGGACCGTAAGTGCTGAGCATCCGGAGCTGCACTCTTTTCTTAAGCTCCCTGGCCATTCGCGCCGGGGTCCTAGGGGAGGAATACGCACTGCGCACGTGGCCCAGGTTGCTTTGCTTACCTGGAGCGGATGCGGCGGGCAGATAGGCGCTCAGGCGGCCAGCGGCGCTGACGTTCACGCAGAACCCGCGGCCATCCAGCAGCGCCTGCAGCGGACGCGGCTCCGCAGGCGGCGGCTGGCAGCTGAGGCCGGAGCCGCAGCGCTCGGTGTAGATGCCGCACCGGTCGCCCTCGCGAAGCGCACAGGTCAAGCAGCAGCCACAGCCTGGCTCTCGCACCAGCTCGGTGCACCTGGGCGTGGAGGGCGGAGGCGCGCACTGGGCCAGCGCACGCGCGTCACAGGGTTCGCAGCGTACTACGGGGCCCGCGCCCACCATGCCCGTGCCGGCCCGCGCCACCGGCGGCCCACGGAGCAGAACCAGAGCCGTGAGCGCAGCCACCCAGAGCGCCGGGTGCGCGGGATGCATGGCGCCCGCCGGAGGGCCTGCGGCTCGGCGGAGGAGAGGAGCCGAGCGGAGCGGAGCCGAGCGATGGCGCACAGGGCCGGGCGATTGCTCGGGATCTGGGCAGTGAGCAGCAGGTCCTTAGCGCCCAGCCACCAAGCTGGCTCGCATCTGGCCAGCCTGGGCGCGTCTGCCTCTATATAGAAGCCGGGGTAGCCGAGGACACGCCCCGGAACGCCGCGGGTGGGGGGTGGGCGGGCGCAGCTCGGCTCCGGGGCTTGCACCTCCCGGGGAAGCGGGGCGAGGGCGGGGGCGCGCAGCGCGCGTCTCCACGGGGCACCTGCTCCCTGCCTGCGCGCAGTCTCCGCGCCTGGCCACCCCTTCGTCTCCGGGATCGGCCTGCACTCCCGGGCCTCTTACTGTGTCTTGCATCCCGCCCATTTCCGTGCCTCAGGTCCCCCCCCCCCCTTCCGAGTGACTTCCAGTCATCTCCGCACTCCTAACCCCCAGACTCTGCCGCCCTTCTCCCTGGACGCCCCAGTTTAGGTGGCCCAGCAAGGAGCTGATACTCGGGAAGCTGGCGCGCGCTCATTCACCCGGGTGCACTTTGCAAAGTTTTTGCAATTGAATTTCTCGAGTGGGGCATGCTGTGGGGGCATTTCCGGAGAGCATACAGTTCACATTGGGGTCTCAGAGTCATGGCGCTCGGGGTGCACTCCGCAGCCAGTTTGGCATCTGAGCCCCTATGAACTTACAAACACGCGTCTCCAGAGGCGCACGTGGTCGCCCGTTCCGGGCTCGCTTTTCAAAGAGGTACTGGCTCAAGTAGACTTTTCCATTCCGGCAAGTCCCCAGTTAGCAGAACGGACTGAAAGTGAATGCGTCGATAAAACAACACGGTTTTGAAGATTTAAAGCCCCCCCCCCGTTTTTTGTTTTGGGTTTTCTCTCTAGTTAACGTTTCAAATAGTGGTTCCATCCGCGACAAAATAATGATGAAGACATTAAAGCGGGCACAGCTGGAGCAGAATGAATACTCAAACAGCCCTCACAACGAATAACAACAGTATTTGAAGTCCCCTTTGAACCCCTGTACTGCAGTCTCCCGACATGCTCCAGTGGAGACTAGTGTTCTCCTTGATCTGCGCAGCCAACAACACTGCAGTAAAGTTGAATGAACTCTCCATCGGGATCTCACCTTTGAGGTTCTGGCGTCTGCTGGTTCCCTACTCCTACACAAATCTCTGCAGGGTCTACGCGCTCCTTCCGTGGGTGACCGACAGAGGACGCTGATGGTTCAGGATTGGATTGGCAAACTTCATGGCTGTTTTACAGTTTGTGTATAAGCAATGGGAACCAGTGAGACTGCCTTGAGAGGAGACTTTCTGAATACCCATGAATTATGTGCTTGCCTTAGGAGAGGGGAAGTTATCTTGGAGAAAACGGTTTTCTATGCAATTTGCTGCTGGAATAGCAAATTAAGGCACCCCCCTCAACCCCCATACCCCGGCCATCTAGCACACACCTTCTGGCAAAGTTGACGTTCATTTACCCATGTGCATATTTATGTCTCTGTATGCTTGGTGGCTCTCTTTCCTCGTATTTATGACTCTGTATCTGTTGCTCTCTTTCTCTATGTTTATATCCCTTTTATAAATATGTATCTTAATTTTAGTTAAATTTAGCCCTCTCCCTTTTATTAGCAAATAAATAACAATAGAACGGGGTTTTACAAAGGAAAAGAAACCAAAGATGACAAATATTAACGGCCTCCCTGGCAGTCCCGCCGAGGCACAGCAGCCCATTTCTCTATTAGTTTTTCTTTCTGCTCAGGCTGTGGCTAGACCTAATATTGTCCACCAGAAACTGCTCTAAATGTCCCTTCTTTTCTCCTCTGGATTAACACCCAAGAACAAAGTCTCTGATTATATTGGAAAATTAAAAGAAACAAAATAAATCCCTCAGCGTTACATTTGTTCTTTAAATAACCACAGAGACCTTGACTCCAAAATTAGAGAGAGGTTCTGTATCAAAAGTGATTTCAGAAGTGCCAGGTCTGCGGTCTGTTCGGGACATGTTATACACTGAGTTGATGTGCTCTGGTCAGTGTATCACTTTTATCCAGCTTTATCATCTGGCTGGTCAATGAGGATACTTGCAATTGATGGCTTTTTAGAAAAGATCAGTCTTTACCCTTCTCTTCAACAGAGCTCTGCTATCCCTTTTCAGTTTAGAAATGGGCGCTTATTCCCAGTGGCAGTCCTAGAGGGCGCCAAAGCGAAAAGATCAGTCTTTACCCTTCTCTTCAACAGAGCTCTGCTATCCCTTTTCAGCTTTAGAAATGGGCGCTTATTCCCAGTGGCAGTCCTAGAGGGCGCCAAAGCGCCAGGCATCCACCTGAATTTACAGACTAGCAGAACCTAAGTTGCATTGCAGCTTTCAAAAGACGTATTCCTTTAACACTGTTTTATGTAGACTGTCATCACCTTTATCGTGAAGTCTTGCAACAGCCAAGTACATCCGTGGCACTGATGTGAGGAGAATTTTGTTTTAATATTTAGTTATTTTCTTTTGACAAAACTGTAGAGGAAAGTCCCCCAGACAGTAATTAGTGCAGGAAGAATTTGGGTGGGATATGTAATTTTGTGACATGCTAGTTAATTTTGTCAGACTTTCAGATAGTCTGATGTTTGTGATCATGAATGTAAGCTCTTAGTGGGGGAAGGTGCCTTCCTCCCTGTTGAAGGTACTTGGCATACAATTGTGAATAATGGTGATGGTCAGGAGGCTGACCGTCTCTGCACTAACAGAGCCCTGCTGACCTGATTCTAATTAGTGATTCTGGCTGCCTGGCGGTTTATCTTATCCGAGGGACACAAACCCCTCATTGTTTGTAGCCTTTCCTCTGTTGAAGGGAACCTTGTTGATTCAGGATGCTGGCCTCTTTTCTTCTACTTGGGTCCTGGCTGGACAAGCAACCCAGGGATCTCAAGTCCTTAGGCACTGCTGACAGTAAGCACTGGCTCCAGTTATCCTCAGGGAAGTGAGTGTCAGCTTTACTGATCACTTATGGTCTCAGGACAGAAGGCCCAGACTCCTAGGGGCAGGAAATGTTAAAGACCCAGTTTCCAGGACTCAGTGTCACTCAGCCTAAAGCTTGAGAATTTCCCCTGGGGTAGGTGAGTGGGGGACAGGGAGCCTACTTTTCCCTTCTTTCAGGTGACCTGCTAGGTGAGCCTCAGGTTATTTACTTTAGACTTAAAGTTGCTTTAAATAACCATAACTGCCAAAGTGACTGCTATTAATAACATTGTAGGTGAGTTATCCACAAACTATCACTGAATACCGCTATGTACTAGCCACAAGGTTTCACAGACTGTGCAGGGAAAATCAGCAGAGATCACCATCTCCAGGGCAGTGTGACCCCCAGGAGAGCACAGGGGCCTCCTAAGTATTTGTATCCAAAGGGAGGAAGGGCAAACCTATCCAGGAGGTCAAGAAGATCTTTGAGGATGGTGATATTTGAGACTCATTGGACACAGACAGAGTCCCATGGAGGGAGACAGGAACACTATGTCCATATGCATCCTAAGAAAGTTGCTCTGTGTCCTGGAACATTGAGGGTCAACTTATAAGAGACAGTGTTGGTCTTGGCATGTGTGTTTTGGAGTAGGTGGGATTCTGAAATGTGGAAGAGAAGAGAAGGTAGTGCCATAAAGTGGAATGAAGAAGGCAGTACCCCATACCATTGGAAATCAGGAGCCTAGAGCTTGGACTCCTTAGGGGTAGTGTCTGATTTGGCAATTTGGAAATGGAAGGCAGGCTTCTGGAGAAGGGGCTTGGGTATATTCTGAACAGAGCCACAGGCGTTTCTGGGACCCCATCCTAAGGGAGTTTCTACTCAGTATGCTGATGCTTAGTATGACTTTTTACAGTGTAGTTTGCCCCTTGATACCCACAAACATGCCCATGTCACCAATAATCTACACGGTAACAGCTATCTGCCTCCTTCCACTTCCATAAAGGCATTCCTGTTTGCTTCAGATTCTGCTTAGTCAAGATCATAACATCAGAAACATTAAGAGAGGTTGGGGACTTGCATGAGACTAGACCTGGAAAAATTGATCATGTTCATTAATTTCTTGCTTTATATCTTTCTAAGTATATTATTACTTGAACTTTGTCCTCCATCTCTGAAATTCATTATCGTGTATGTTTGTTGGTGATGTTTTCTAATGTGTTTTTATTTGATTGTTTCTTTGATTTCTGGGATTTGTTTGATTCTTTTTCAGCGTTTCAACTTCCTTGCTGAATTTTTTCCTCCATAATTAATACCTTCTCCTCCAGTTTACTAACTGCTTCATGCAGTTTGGAGGTGATATTGTACAGGCCTTGAATGAGCTTCCTAAGTATATTCCTCTCCTTATTTGAGCCTTCTATGTGTTCATTAGTTCCTGACAAAAATAGGGCTGTTAATTCTTTCCCAAGCATTTCAGCTATCTGGAGAGTTTGGTTTCCATCACAGTGGACTTGGGAGCTTGGGAATGTGCCATGGTGACTTATTTCATGTTCTTTGAATTTCTTTGTTGTATTTTGTACATCTGTTAAGATATGTTTTCCATTTTTAACTCTCCCCCATTTTCTAACTCTAATTGGTTGCTTTCTCAGAGTCTAGAGGGATGTGTTGCTGGAAACTGTGTTTCTTGTAGCCGTTTAGGAAAGACAGAACAGTGCCTTTCACTTACTGATTGCCAGTCCTGTTCTTGCCTTAACAGTAGAAGACCCTTTGCATTATACTTGTGTCCTTGTTAAGGTTCATAGACAGCAGCATTGGGGTACTGTTTGGGGAAAAGTGTGATTTATATATATTTTTAAAGAGTAAGGGTATCATTATTTAAGTAGTGAAATGTAGGAATAGGTGTGATAGTATGAGGTGTGGATGATGTCTGTATGTGCATGTATTTCCGCATGTCTTCTGTTTAAGCTCTCACTGTCTCCCTTGTCCCCTCGAATTCCAGCCATTTGTATCTTGTAGTATTTTAAAATACCAATCAGAATGTATACAATTATCTAGAGGAGACAAAAGAATAGAAAGGTATGAAAGGCCGAGTCTTTCTTGTTCAGGGCCCTCCTTTAGAGAACTATCATTGACTGTGCCTCCTCATTAATAAAAACCGATTCCTGCAAAGCC